GAATGACCTTTCTAAATGAAGTGCTGTTCCATCCTAATGTTTGGCCTGAAAACATGGAAGTCTTTTATGAAATGGAAACAATGCCAAGCACCGACTATGAATATTGCTTCTCATTTGGTTTACAATTGTACTTCTTGTCTCTTTAATTTCAAAATGCCAAGATATATAACATCGAGACTTTTTGCATCTTTAACCAGCTTACGTAGAAAAGATTCCATATTCTATGCCAATAGATTCGTGACATCCATGTACTGAGTCGTCAAATGAGCCACGTTAAGAAAGCCCAAGCTTATACGCATTGGCCCACAGGGTGCCCCAATAGGGCCCGAATGAAAGACCCAAGCCTACATGAATGACATGAACCATCAAAGTCCTACAAATGAAGACTTGGCCCTATCAAGCCTGCTTTCCTCGATAAAAGCCCACAGAAGGGCCAAAGCACAACAAGCCTACTCATCATCAAAGCAAGCCCAAGTCCACGCAAGAAGGCCCGCTGGATCTATCCAAATTCAAAGCCCATCAAAGACTCTCCTACATGAAAGGATCTGAGTCCATCCAAATGATATATCATCAAATGAGCCATGTTAAGAATGCCCAAGCTTATACGCGTTGGCCCATGCCGTTCAGAGAAAACACTCCTATACTGTGTCTAGTGGGGAGCTTTTTCATCTCAAAGAATAAGCAGATCTTCATATTTCGCATTTTACATTACCTTATCGAAGGAAGAAAAAAGATATTGTGCATTGCTTAAATTTATACTGCTGGGATAAAAAGAAAGTGATCAAGACCTGCTTACAGAATTCAACTAGCTATATAGTCTTATTTTAGTTGAATTATATTTTGTGCTCTTTTGGCAAACAGGATTCGTCGTGGTCACCAGGTTTATCAACAAGTATGTGCATCTTGTCATTCAATGTCACTTGTTTCATATCGTGACTTGGTCGGGGTGGCATATACAGAGGAGGAAGTAAAGGCTATGGCAGCTGAGATTGAGGTGGAGGATGGGCCTAATGATGAGGGTGAAATGTTTACCCGTCCTGGTAAACTGAGTGATCGTTTTCCTCAGCCATATCCAAATGAAGCTGCTGCTAGATTTGCTAATGGGGGGGCCTACCCTCCAGATTTAAGTCTTATTACAAAAGTATTTCCGCCTTTCTGTTTCTGTTTTTTTAAAGAATAAATCTCCTTTCTGTTCCTATTTCAGTCATTACTGTTATCTGCCCCATTTAGCTTTCATTCTGTTTCTCAGGCACGCCATAATGGTCAAAACTATGTGTTTGCTCTTCTTACTGGCTATCGTGATCCTCCTGCTGGTGTTTCGGTATGCATCATTGTCCTTTGTGTATCTTAGACTCTTTAAGTTTTCAATCTTGAAGCTTTTATACCTTCTGCACTGTTGATTTTTGACTTCCCATATGATTTTTTTTCTTTTGATAACCAAGAAATCCCTGAGGGGCAGAATGGGCCTTTTAGTATGAAATGGGTTTTTTCCCTTTATTACGTAGCTGATTGTGTGGCCTAAGTGGCCTGAGCAACTTTTTCTAGTGGAATTAATTCTCATTCACGGTTCTCTCTAAACATTTGAATCCACATGTATGTCTCTAATTTTTTTTTTCTTTTTGTTATTGTACCTTGTGTTGTAGTCGAAAAAGGAAATTACCCCTAACATGTGACACAAGAACATTATGACACAGTGATTTCTTGTTTCCGGCTGTAAGCAAAGTAGGATAAGTCTCCAGCCCTTGTCGTGATGTATTTGACTCTGCAACTGAGAGGACAGGGTTCGTGAACTGCTTTGACACTGATAGGCATCTTATTCTACGTAATCTGAAGCTGTGACCTGAATTTAAATCAACAATCCTACAGTACAATTTCATTAATTTAACCAAATCACTTATGGGAATAGAGTAGTGAGAGGATCAGTGTATGTTGGATCACACTTATAGTTGCATAGGATCTCACATGAGAATTTATGATCCTGTTTGTAGGATTGTATTAGATCAATTCAGACAGTAGATCTTAAGGCTTCACTCGGTCACAATGATCCTAGTATCCTACTAATTTGTCAATTTTATGAAATTCCCATATTGTATTTTGTTACTCCCTCCATTCCATATTAAGTTAATTTTTTAGGTGTTTCACACCCTTTAAGAAAAGTAGATTAAGACATAAATTGAACATAGTTTTCCATTTTTACCCTTATTAATTATTGTCAAATTTATGATTAAAATAACTAAATATTAATTAATCACTAATTCCAATACTAACTAATGAAGGGTAAAATAGGAAGAACACTCTAAAAGTAGTCTTGAAAACTGAACAATTAAGTTAATTTGAAAAATGAAAATTCCCATATTGTATTTTGTTACTCCCTCCATTCCATATTAAGTTAATTTTTTAGGTGTTTCACACCCTTTAAGAAAAGTAGATTAAGACATAAATTGAACATAGTTTTCCATTTTTACCCTTATTAATTATTGTCAAATTTATGATTAAAATAACTAAATATTAATTAATCACTAATTCCAATACTAACTAATGAAGGGTAAAATTGGAAGAATACTCTAAAAGTAATCTTGAAAACTGAACAATTAAGTTTATTTGAAAATTTGAAAATGCCTCGAAAATTAACTTAATATGAAATGGAGGGAGTAACTTGTATTGGCTGTGCAACAAATTCCAAGACCAACAGGTGCAAATAAACCGTATAATGTAATATAACTAACCATGTATATTTGCTTGGATCTTAAAGTCCTACTATGATCCAATCATGGGATCCTAAAATGATCCTATCTAGGATCTCCATTCTAGAAACATCTCATGGTGCATTTGTTGGTTTGCTTACTTAGCCTTCCTAATTGTTGTGGTTGTTTGTGAGCATAATCTAAGCAAAGTCAACCATTTTATTAGCTGAAGATAATTAGATTACTATATTTTTTTGTCCACACAATACTGGCGTTCCTTGTCTCTTTGACTGATCTGTCAAGCTACAACCATACTGTAGATTCGTGAAGGACTGCACTACAATCCTTACTTCCCTGGTGGAGCTATTGCAATGCCAAAAATGCTTAATGATGGTGCTGTTGAGTATGAAGATGGTGTCCCTGCAACAGAAGCTCAGGTTGGTCCCTTTGTCACTTGATTGGAGCTGTCTGCATGTAGTTTCATAGAGATGAGCTACACTACTATGTTTCAGTATAAATAAGCTAATTTCTCCTTGTATTGTTGTGTAGATGGGAAAAGATGTGGTGTCATTTTTAACTTGGGCCGCTGAACCAGAGATGGAAGAGAGAAAACTGGTCTGTTGTTTTTGGTATATGCACAGATGATGATGTTTGTGTTATTATTACTATATGGCAGTTTCTGATATATTTGCATTTCCACTGCAGATGGGCTTCAAGTGGATATTTGTACTGTCCCTTGCACTACTTCAAGCTGCTTACTACAGGCGTTTGAGGTGGTCTGTTCTCAAGTCACGGAAGCTGGTCCTTGATGTTGTCAATTAGAACATCCCCTATTCAAATGCTTGTGGAGCAGGCAAATAATATTATCTTTCTCAAAATGCTTTTGTTGTTTGACGTCTTACTCTGGAATGGCCTGGTTTTTGGTAAAGCGAACAGGCTAAAATTTTCCTTCTATTTGGAGTTGAAATAAGAGGCCCGTGTAATTTTTATAGTGGGGAGACATTCTCGCCTTGTTTTTGAGGCTGTAACCCTGTTTGTGGAGCTGTCTGGCTGTTGTGAAACTTTGCTCTCCAGATTTTTAGTTTTGTGACTTGACATACAATTTTATTGCACTTAAAAAAAATCATATTCCAAGGGTTACCAATACGATTAATCAAATAAGAATTTTACTAGTAAGTTTATTGTTATTGGTTGGCGGATTTGCAGTGTACGTGTGTTACCATGAATAATTCATTACTCAGTTGTGACTAATAATAGTGTTTTCGCTGCCTTTTCATTGAAATTCTGCTTACTGAGAAAATATGATAAAAACATTGTGTAATTCTTGCCTCAGTTTAGTACGGAATAATGAAGTGAAATCTAAATTGTGGTATTTGACATATTTTGAAATTTTACATCCAATTTTTAAATTAGCCATGCAACTTGGTAGAATTACATTCTTGAAAAGCAGAGGCAATTTTTATCATCTAGTATATTCTTTTTTCACTATTGAAAGAGACCACATTCAACGAACAGTGTAAGGTATAATATCACAATCGAATTGCGTTTTCTTTTCTTCTTTCCTAATTTTATGAAGAAAAAGGTTACTAGAAGGAAACACAACTTGTTCTTTTTTAACCAATTAGAAACCAGCCAATAGTCATGTTCCACATATACTGCTTATAATTATAAACCCAACTTGTCTATTCCAACTAGCTTTCAGCGTTCGCCACGCGTCCTTCCCATTAATATCAGATTATTATAAAAAGAAGAATTGAATTCCTTGTATATTTTGATTGGCTATAGGTGAATTATTAAAGCAAACTAGCTATTTATTGGTGCACAAGATTTGATCTCATATAAACTAGATTTCCTGTCTTTTAGGGTTCTTCCTAAACGACAAGTACATAGGTGTCCACAATACAATTTCAAGACAAAAACACTACTAATTTATTTTATACTAAAACAAGTAACATAGAGTCATTGGGAGATATAACGTGTTGCATCAAGTAGAAACACATTTATTTAAGATAAGCATAAAATTTTGAATACGCCACTACATATATTCATTAGTTTTAATTTGACTTAGTTTAACGTAATACTATATACTTCACAACCAATTGACTTTCAGAAAATCATATATCTTTAGCATCAATATTGAATGATTGCGCTCGATTACTTATAAATGATAAATAGCTTGTTATTAATGGGGAAATTAATTTTTTTTATTATATACAGTATAATTTTTTCAGTGAAAGCATATCAATGACTACTTTATTATAACAAATTAAACTATACTTAAGTGAGAGTATTGCTATGAGTGAGGACCACATAAGGGGAAGAGAAGCAATGGATGACACCTGGTGTCTCAAACAATTCCTCTCATTTTACTGTCTCACTTTCCAAAAGCGGTCGAGAGAGAAATTTCATATCAAATGAATATAATGTTTCAAATTAAAGGTGAAGAAAACGTTGTTTATTACACTATAGAATAGAAGGGATGAAGTAATTATAATACTAATATTGTGTAAGCAAGTCGTCTAGAGACTTCAATATTATGCCATGTGTAGTGTGGATACCTCAATGGAAGCATCCATGTGAATGTGTATGCATATAAGTATATACGGTACCCAAAGAGGTCTGGGCACAACATATATATATGTGTATATATATATATATACATTCAGTTGCGTCAAATGAAGTTAGATACTATAAATGATCACTACACATATATAATCATTCTCAAGAGACAACAGGAAGCAACTCATGATATACACAACCATCAACTTCAGGTAAAATTATCTTTCTCCAAAATACACATACAAATATATTACTGCCATTCATTATTATTATTATATCAGTGGGAGCAAGCAAGCTAAATAGACTATTTTCCGAAACTCATCGGAATAGTATAATATATATAGGGAAAAGGGACAAATATACCCCCGAACTATCATAAATGGTATGTCAATATCATCCGTTATACTTTAAGGTCGTATATGCCCTTACCGTCATTCTTTTGGGTTGTATATATCCTTGAATCTAACGGATGGACACGTGGCATCATCTAAATGATTTACTCGATTTTATTTATTTTTTACCCAAAAATTAAAAATCCACCCGACCCACAATCAAAATGGGTGGTGCCAAAATCCACTCTTCATTTTCATCAAAAATCATCCCTTTATTCTTCTCAACCCACCATAACCATGGAATCAAGAACTCATCTTTCAAGGAAGAAGATGACTTGTTCACTAAAACTACTATTTTCTTCACTTTCACTAACATCCCTGCCAGTTATGTCAATCTTGTGTCTTTCAAATTTTTTAAATCTGTAGCTTTATGCTTGCTAAACAAAAAAAAAAAAAATCATCTTCATTTAGCACAATAGGAATCTAGGTTATTGGGTGTTTTATACATCATCTATTTCAAAAATATTTTCAACACATTTCAATAATAACAAATCAATTTGAGATTGAATTTTTTGATTTAATTGTAGACCCACTTTAAAGCTTGAAGCTTTGTCCATCAATGGTGGTAGTAATAAATTGATTTGAACAAAAAAAAAATGAAATTGATTTCTTGATTTTGATTGAAATAATATGCTTCTAGGATTTTGTTTGTGAGATTTGGAAAATGAATTGAAGAACATTTTTCCTTTAATTTGATTTTTAATGAAGATGAAAAGCTATGTTTTTTATTTTTTATTCTAAATATCATGATATTTTAATTTGGGCCATGGGTGGGTAAAGTATAGAAAATGGGTGGGTTTTCAATTTTTTTGGATAAATAAATAAATAAAATCGGGTAAATCATTTAGATGATGTCACGTGTCCATCCGTTAGATTCAAGGATATATACAACCCAAAAGAATGACGGTAAGGGCATATACAACCTTAAAGTATAACGGAGGGTATTGACATACCATTTATGATAGTTCGGGGGTATATTTGTCCCTTTTCCCATATATATATATTACTTTTTTAGCAATATAATTATCTTGTTATATGCTAATATATACTCATGCTCGTACATGGCCTAGAATTTGAACTAAAGTTTCTGTTTCCAAAGAAAAATGTGTTATTGTACTGGACAATATCTTTGTCAATACATTAGAAAATATTAATGTTACATAGACTCTTTCTTCTAAGCCACATGCCTTGCTGACTCATTACATTTACTCCTAGCAATATATGTTTTCATCGACGTACAGACCACGAGAGACGTTATAGGGTGAGGCCAGGCAATATATATTGTAACGTGTTATTTGTTTAATAGAGTTGTAAAGAAATAGATCTTGAGTTTAATTAACTCAACCTCAAATGTAATTAGTTGATCATGAGGGAAGGATTGCCATGAAGAGTTCAAATTCTCCTCCATCAATACGTACCTCGCTTCACGGTCAGAGAATCTGTTCAAATTTTATTAAGTTTGAATTATGGGAAACGTGAATAGACAAGTAGCAGAACTCATACATGTATGTAAAAATAAAATATAGATTCTTTGGTCGAGGACTCTACCAGCCTTTTTGTTTTTCTTTAGATTTCATCAATCATTATATGTAATTTTGTATGAATTAATTACTAATAGTTTCCATATACTCCTCCCTAACACAATATAATTCCCCTTCACTGGGACATGTATCTACAAGTTAATAATTTGTACATAAAAAATTAATACAAATTTTGAAGCAAAATTATTGGATTACTAAACTCATACTAATTCATATCCTAGTAGTATGGTTTTCTGATTTTATATAGTACAAGTAGCAATAAACCTGCTTCTTTTTCAACCAAACTTAAATATATTTCGTAGAGATAAGTTATTAAATGGTTAATATATAATTAAAGAGAAAAGCAATAATTTTATATAATGTAGGAAGAACCTCACTATCATAATTCATAGTAGTAAGAAGAAAAATGAATGGAAAGGGCAGGTGGCATCAGATTCTATGAATGTAGTGAGTAGTATATGGAGTAACTATTAGGTGTAAGCTCCAATCACAAATCAATTCAATTGTGTGACCTCACCTAACCTATTTTATTTTATTTTATTTGATTGATGGGAGTGGGACCTAATTTTGATCTGAACCATCCACGCGCCCAATAAACCATGCTTCTTCCCATTACATTAATTGCCCACCTTCATGACCATTCCTTTCTCCGTACATCCCACTTATTTATGGTCGAAAATATAATTAAATAATAAAAATATGACATTTTAATTGCTTAAATGTTCAAATGAGATTGTCATATATCAAAACAAGTATTTCACTGCTATCCAAAATTTAAAAGAATTTTTACATGTCCTGAAATCGAATTTCGCCATTACCTAAAATTAAAAAAAAAAATCACGTGTTTAACTCATGAAAAAGAATATTATTTCTATAATCACAATCACTTAGCATTTGTATTTTCTAGGATCTTTGAAATCAAGTATACATCCTTTATACTTACTTGTTTCAAGTGTTTGACCCATGAATATTATTTCTATAAACACAATCACTTTAGCATTTGTATTTTCTGGTAATTGAAATCAACTTTTCTATAAAATCATTTACTTGTTTACGCAGTCTATACATTCCTTTATACTTTGTTCCAGAAATAATGTTACTTTTTATAGTTGAGAATTATTTATTTTTCAAACTTTCTTATTTATGTTAAAAAAAAAAACATTCTCCTTTCCAATAAACCATTAACATAACAAGTATAAGGAAACTTTTGCTGTGGCATAAGTCTTTATTTTTCGTAATCTGTTATATTATCCAATCATAACACTATCCTATTAAATGAAATTAATAAGAGAAGTATTCTTTCTTTCTCATCACTGTAGATTATAGTCTAGTCTTTCCGTATTTAAGTTTGAATTTAAAATTGACTAAATATGCTCTCTATACATACGATTGAAACAAAAGGAAGAAAAAAACGAAGAAATATTCGTGTAGGGGAGGTGATTTTCACGATGAAACAAAGAGGGTGGGAATATGGAATACAAAAACAATTAAAATAAATGGACACGCGTCTAATTAATGGAACCTCCCAGAAAAAAAGCATTCCCACTTTGCTTCTATCAAGGTACAAACGTGTCTACCTTTTTTTCCTCAGTGCTCACTCTACGTGACCTCACCTTATTGGCTCTCACTGCAACACCAATCACAGCAACTCTATTTTCATTTTCCCTGGATACATGGGACCCACTTGATCTCACCTCACCAATCACATCTCATCACTGTTTTAAGTTTAGCCCTAGACACGTGTTGCTTCCTAACCCTACGAACTAACTGTGCCTGTAACTATGATAATCCTCTCGGCATCCGGCAAAACTAAATTATTTCTATCTAAAAACCGCTCTACAACACACCCCGAATGGACCTTGCAAATACTTGGGCCGGGCCGGGATGCACAGGTACTCCCAAAGATACCACGATAATCAACCAGATGATGCTCAGGTTCCGGCCTATTGCGCCCAAGCCCGTAGCTAATTCTTCGGGCCCGGGCTCTACGCCGGAAACTCTTGTTGTTGGAAAAAGAAGAACAAAGAGAAAGTACGTTAGAGTTAAGAAAAATAACCAGTGCAAGATTAATAAAAAAGAAAAAAGTGATGGATCATCGGATGATCATCAAACTGCTGTAACTCTTCAGCTGCTGCCGGAAAGTAGTGGAGGAGTTAAAAGTTTGCCGGAGAACAGATCTTACCCAAAAACTATCAACTTTTTGGTGCAAGACCGATCAATATGGATAAATAACAATATTTTATCTATCGGTGCACCGGATCCGTCAGTAGAGATCCGATCTCCGATGGTTGTGGAATCATGGGTGATGGTGGACGGTTTAACAAACACTACTTTGGTAGATTTATCAGCTTTAGGAAGTACGGACATGGAGAAGATGATGAATCTACAGCGTGACACGTGTCCGGGGTTCATATCGGACGGTTTAGATAGCGTGAAGTGGGTGAATCTGGCGTATCGGAGGATGATAGATCCGGTAGAGGACGGAGGAGAACCGCCGGAGATGGCGGTGCGTTTAGTAGTGAAGGAGAATAAAAGTGCAGCATTATTATTATTGCCAAGTTTTGCATGCATAGTAAGAATTGTGTATACGTGGAATAAAGTGAAGCAGTCAAGGACAATGCCTTGTGATGTATGGAAGATGGACTTTGGGGGATTTGCATGGAAATTTGATGCTAAGGCTGCACTTAGCTTGGGCCGTTGAAGGGTAAATAAACCCGACAATAGTAATTCAATCTAAGGTAATGTCATTTTTATATATTTAAATCTCATGAGAACTGATGATATCATGAAGTCCTAAGTGAAAAAAATAATGATCCCTAAGGTTTGTGAAATCTAGCTAGGGCAAAAATGATGCGTAGCTCTCCTTATTCAAAACTCGACTTCTAAATGTGAAAAATGTTTGCTGGAAATTGATAATTGTGAAATTCATAACAAACTCTTATGTCTTGTTATTCAGCTTTAATTTGATACATGAACTAGTACTTATTGTTGAACAAGGAAAGAGATTCATACTTGAAGGAGCTTAACTAAATGAAAACACTCCTTGGAACTAAGACCTAATTATTTAACCTGTAATATTACTTAATTTACTTATTCGAACACAGAATAGTATTCCTAAACAACATAAATTTTCATTTGGTATCCCATTATATATCATGTCATTTCCAACATTTCATTTATTTTGAAATGTTTTCAGGTCTTGATAGAATTTTTTCATACTCTACAATTTTTGAAATTTGTATTCTGAATCCTTAAATATTTTCCATAAAGGACTGCACTGCATCCCCCACCCAGACATTGCATTTGCTTTTTTATGTCAAATATATGTATTGACTACCAAATACCTACAACAACAAAATTTAGAAAGGAGAGTAGACATGTACCAAATTAAAATGGATTTTTTTTTATATATGCTAGAGAAAATCTACCGTGAGTGTATACAACAATAATGTGAATTAAGCTCTTCTCTTATGGGCCTTTGCACACTAGATGTATCTAAAGAGGAAATTTTCTACTCTATTATTCTCGAAAAGAATAAGCATTATTCTCCACATTATCTTGTAGTTGGTTCAAAATAATCGTCTGGCCAACTTTTTGGTCAAAGAAAAATAGACAGTAAAGCACAATATTCATTGGATAGCTAGATCACATGATAAACATTGACGTCTTGAATATTGAATATTCTTCATATTTTCTGTATTGTATAGTTTATTTTATTTTATTTGTTATCGATCCTTTCACATACTACTAGATAGGAACTATGACTGAAGATAACTACTAAAGTAACTTATTGTTTTTAATTAGTGGAGCTAGCTAGGTAGCTAGTATATTGAAATAATTGGACAGGGTTAGGTTGCAACTAAAGTAAATAATCACATTGTTATATTGCTTTATTGAAACTAGAGACTATATAACATCACTTCACCAAAAAGGAATGCTTTTGGTGTAATTCCAACTGCATCAAATTTTATACTAAAAAAAATATTTTTTTATCTCTTTATTATTATATTATTATTTTTTATTTCATTTATATTTTCTTATTTCATAAAATAATTTTTTTCTAAAACATTCACCATATATAATTTATATTATTTTCTTTTATAATCGTTTAATATAAAATTATTTTGTACCATAATTTTTTAAATAATATAAATTGCTAGCAAATATTATACATTATACATAATAATGGATAATACAAATAAAAGTGAAATACAATTAAATAAACATTACATAATTGAAAAAATTATTTTAAATTCTACATAAATAGTCAACTTTCAAGATCATTACGGTGCTTCCATAAATGCTCTATTAATGCATTACGTAGTTCAAAATGAGCTTTTTTGTCCTTTGTTTTTTTATATTGAGCTAGAAATTGTTGAAATTGATAATTTTTATCTATTGTCATCTCTACGGTCGGAGTTGGACCTTTCGATGCATCTTGAATTGGTGCATTAAGATCATGCTCATCCTCAATTATCATGTTGTGCATTATAATACATGAAGTTAATATATCATGTAGCACTTCTATTTAAAATTACTATGTATTTTATATTTCAATTTTGATGTATGTCAATTACTACTTTGTTGAATATTTATTATTTTCGATTATTTTTAAGTACATTGTATTTATTTGTTTAAAAATTTATATGTTTGCATTTTTAATTTTTGTGAAGGTTAATTGTAATTTATAGTAGAATTAATATAAATTTCATTTTTTTAAAAAGTATCATATAGAAAAATTAATTTATAAAAAAACTAAATTTTATATCTAAAATTAATATTATAAAAATATTACATAAAAAATAATTAAATATACAAGAGATTTAATTAAAACATACCATTATATAATGTTTAATTAAAAATTTGTATAATAAAATAATATTAAAAATATTCAAAAAAGTGAATTGGTGTGATGTATAGTGTTGCACCAAAATTTTGGTGTAACACTATTTACACACCAAAATTTTGATGTAAAAATTGGTGTGGGTTGGAGCTCAAAACACCAAATATAAAATTTGGTGTAAATTTTGGTGTTGGGTTGGAGATGATCTAATAAGACGTAAACAGAAAACTGTATATTATCTGCTGTTTTCTTTGGTAGATGTGTTTTATTATCGTTTGTGTCTTGGTTTTTCAACTTTTATTACAGTAAAATGACGTAGGAGTCTTTCATAAAGCAATTGTAATTTACTCAATCTAATTTTATAACAGTATATTTATTAAAAAATAAAATTGTTACCTTTATTATTTGTGATAGTGGGCAACGTTTTATGACATTAGTACTATTATGATGGATAAAATATTGTTTACTTAAAAAAGGCAAATACTATAATTTACAATTTCATTGATATTAAGCCTCTTATTCAGGGACCGGGAATGTGTGTTAAGTTATAGTACTACGTACGGATAAGATTTGCTTTTGCTTGATAAGCTTAAACAATTAATGAGATATAGGCCGAAACTAAACATTATTAACGAAAGAGTATCCGAACATAGTTGGTTGATAGGAAAAAGCTCAAATTAAAGATATACTCATCATTCATAAAGATTATCGTGGACTAGTAAGTATTGATTTTTTTTTATTCTTAATCATATGTTTGAGTTTGATTTCTACGTATATTAATAATATCTTTATTATGAAACACTTTATATTTAGTATCAAATATTTTGATACAACTCAAATTTAATTGAGTCTTGATAGAAAACTGAAGAAAAACTAACAATTGAATAGAGTTAATATCTCAAAAGATCACTCAACTTTACGAATTTATCTAGAAAAATTATTAAATTTTATTTTGTATCAATAAAATCACTGAACTTAGTTTTTTTTTTCTCAATTAAATTGATCATTAAAAAAATTCACACTATAAATAAATTATTTTTTATATTATGTTCATGATTGAACTACTAAATATATGACTCAAAATTAATATTTCATTATAAAATAATATAAAATTCAAAATAAAAGATAAATTTATCAAACTTGAACCTAAAATTCTCCAAACTGTCGTCATGATACATGAACCTCACTTTTATTTTATTTTTTAAATGAAAAAAAGAGATTTTCAGAAATAAGAAATTGATTAAACCATCACAGTAAGTGTGGTTACCAGCAAATGAAGCAATAATAATTTAGCAAATAAAGTTGAAAATTATTAGCCGTCACTGCAATGAAGCAGTAGTAATTAATCAAAAGAAATTGATAAAATTATCTTTTATTATTTTATTTTATTTTATTATATAATAAAGTAGTAATTTTAAGTTATCTATTTATTATTTTAATTGTGATCAGATATAAAAAATAATTTATTTTGATTTTTTAATGATAAATTTGATTGAGTGGTTTTATTGATATAAAAGTCTAAGTGAAGTAATTTTATTGATATAAAGGCCTTAGTTGAGTGATTTTATTGATACGAAATAAAATTTAATGACTTTGCTAGATAAATTTTCAAAATTGAATGACCTTTTGAGATGTTAACTTTATATGCATATACCTATTAATCATGGATTTCTTCACATAGGTAAAGCGATGATTCCAGTATAGTTTCCTGTTTTTCTATTCATAGTACCTTATTTCATTTTAATTATCGAAATAAATAAGGGTGTGCTTGGTATGAAGGAAAATATTTTCTGGAAAATGTTTTTTAAATTTTTTCATGTTTGGTTGGGCTAAATGTTTTGGAA